ATAAAAAGCCAATGAATTAAGGACAAGAGACATTTTAAATGCCCTTTCCTATTTGAGAACTTTAAAAGCTCTAAAGATAAGAAAGAATGAGCAAAAATGAATAGTATGAATCTTACTCCCTGGCTAATCTTGGGTCACCCTGGCCCTGAATCAAATCCTATAACAAAGATATCATTGATCCAGGACTCTGGGCCTTTCCCAGCATTTGAGTTCCTGTTGTGTGTGCAGATCATGCCCCAGCAGTGGCAAAGCTCAACATTTTTTGTTTACTACTTTACTTTCATTTGTATCTAGAAACCTCAGTACAAGTTTGGGCTTTCGTAACTTCAGGATTTAATTGCACAGGTAGAAAAGTAATTCTCTCCTGCCTGGGTTCCAGCTTACTCTCTCCTTCCCTCTCTACTCCCCGACCCCCCTTCACTTCACAGGTAGTTGGTAGCCAAGTATTCAGAGGTGACTATAATGGGTGTTAGGAGCTCACACTTAGGAATCCTGCCATGAACACCCCCCCCCCCCTGAGGTTTATGATCAAAGGATGGAATAGAGCAGGAAGAGGGTGGGAAGTGAGGCACCACTTTGTTAAAAGCTGGGCAAGCCCTCAATGGAGCTCTGTGACGGAGTCCCCTGGTTCCTGCTCTTCTCCCAACCCTAGACTCTTATCTTCTTTTTTTGGGCATAGAACTGGGGTACAGGCCAGAGGAGCAGGGACGTGAGAGGATCCACCAGAGACAGAGTGGGGAGCAGAACAGGCAGACTGACTGAAATACACTGCTGAGGGGAGCAGCGGGGGAGACAGGAGAGGTCTGCTGTGCCATGTGGGTAGCTCCCTGACCGGGGATTGAACTCAGGCCTTAGCTGTGATAGTGCTGAGAGTTAACCTCTAGGCCACCAGGGAGGCCCCAGCCTTGGACTCTTGAGGGAGACTGGAGGAAAGGTCTAGAGTCCACTGAACAGCTGACTGGCAGGGGATGTGATAGTAATTGATGCTGGGCCTGCTGCTAGAAGGCAGATCCTGTCCTGGTCTTGGCCACATGGAGATGGGAAGGGAGGGAGTCACTCAGGCCTTGGGTAGTGTAATAACTGGTCTCCTCAGTGTTGCAGGCTCTGACCCTACATTTATCAAGGCCCCTCTCTTGGGGAGAATCTAATAAAGGGTGGAAGGGAGGGGGCAGAGGTATTGTCTTCTTCCATGAAGGGTATTGTCCTTCAGTTTTTGTCTTATGTTTTTCTTTTAAGAACGTGCGCTGTAGTTACTGTCAGTTGGTCATGGCTGGGGGCTTTCACACCTATTAATTAGCTAAACCAATCCTCACCATATTTGAAAGATAAATACCAAACCCCCTCCTCCCCTTTTTTTAACATCTGGGAAAAATAGACTTTCAAAATGTTAGATGAGATAATTCTCAGTCCATACGACTTTACTGAGTCTTTATTTGCTCTGCCCCCCAATTGCCAGCTGCATGGCAATTCATAGACAGGGCTCTGTTCTTGCAGAGCTTGTGGTTCAGAAGGAAAAGCAGATGATAAGTAAGAGCAAATGTACATCTACAAAGCATGATCAGTGCCAGGAAAGAAACAAAAATGTAAGCATTTGGTCTTAGCAGGGAGAGGAGGGCAGGTTCCTGCTCAACACCATCAGTCAAAGAGGATATTGAAGTTGACATCAAAAGAGTGAGAAATAGCAGCCTTACAAGGAGCTGGGAGTAGAGCATTTTGGACAGTAATAGCAGGTGCAAAGGCCCTGAGGACAGGATAGGCTTTCCTTGCCTTAAGGGACTGAAATCAGGGTCTTAGGGATGAGGAACATTGAGCAACAAGAAGGTTGTAGGAATGTGTAGAACTCTCAGAGTGGGGAAATGGTTGGATTTACCTTAACGGATAGTGGGAAACCATAGTCTGCTTAGGCTGCCATAGCAAAATACCAGACTTTGGTGGTTGTGGGTGGCTTAGACCACAGTCATTTATTTTGTCACAGTCCAGGAGGCTGAAGTCCAAGGTTGAGGTGCTAGCAGGGCTGGTTTCTAGTGAGCCTCTCCTCTTGACTTGTAGATGGCTGCCATCTTTCTGTGTTCTTATGTGACCTTGCCTTTGTGCTGACACAGAAGGAGAGAGAGCTCCTGTCTTTTCATTTTCTTATAAGGAACCTCCTTGAGACCCTGTCTCTAAATACAGTCATATTAGGGGGTAGGATTTCATGCTCTGAATTTAAGGAGGACGCATCTCAGTTTATAACACAGAGGAAGGGTCAAAGTAGGAGAATGGCATGACTGTGGTGGCCATGTGAACTTGATGGAGGAAGTCCAGTGAATTCATTTGCAGCATTTTTGGGGAGAGATGATGGTGGCCTGATTGGGGGGGTGGGTAGCCATGGAGATGATGAAGTTGGAATGGACTGGTGGTGATGGTGGTGGGGGAGGGAGCAGAATGACTGGCCTTGCCATGTCTCATGGCTCTCATGCACAGTTTGCCTGTTTGTCTCAATAACCCAAAGTTCTTAAGCGGTTCCGTCTCTGGTGTGTGTCTGGTGTGGTCATGGCACTGGATGTGGACTACGTGCACACGTGCTGCATATGCTGGGATGGTGGGATTTCCAGCTCATATTCTGTGTTGTGTCTGCCTTAATTGGCTACCATTACTTAGGGCTTCAAAGGAATTATTTCTTCCTAATTTTCCTTTGGTAGTTTCAAAGTGACAGAGCTAATCTAGTGCCATGTGTGTTTGCATTATATGCACAGATACACAGCAGAGAACTTGCCTCTCAACTTAGTGATCCCTACCCTGGCTTTCCAAGTCAGCTGGCACAGACCTGGTACATGGTGGGTGTTCAGGTGATGCATTGGTGGCTTATGCAGTGCTTGCTTACTTTGGATCACATACATGTGGCTACTGAACATACTTCTTTTTCTGTTTGTGTCCTCCCTCTACCCTGAAGCAATGGATATAGTCTTGACACAGAAAATAAGCAAGTTGACACTTAATGTACTGAAGTTATATAAAACTTGGACTGTTCTGGATATGTGGAATGTTAACTCACCTTTCCATTGAATGTGAGTGGACTTCCCCAGTCATTAAAAGCTCTTCTGGTCTAAGTCATCTGCCTGGTCTCCTAGTGTTAGGATGCTACATTTCATTTACACAGTTGCCAGTCATTGGACATCCAGGTTGCTTCTGGATTTTCCAGCTAAAATAATACAGGACAATATCCTCGGGTAAATGTATGAACATTTTTTGGATGTATTCTCCTGTCTATAAAAATTGAGGTGTCCAGGATACTAGGTTGATACAAAGCTTACAATCAGCTCAATGTTGAACTCAAGGCAAGTTAGACTCGATTGAAATAACAAACTGTAACACAAGAGTAGATCTTCTATATAAAGATCACTCCTGGGAAAGCAGTTGTTTTTGATGCAAAATCTTAATTAATGTGCAAATTTTTCAGTTTGCCAGAGTTTAGTTTTTCTCCTCTGTTAAATAGGAATAGCAGTAATACCCTCTCTGTGATGGAGTTTCAAAGCACCAATTTTGTATAAGGCATTTCCTGCAGGACCTGGCGCACCATTAACACTAAATAAATGTGAACTGCAGCTATTAACAGTATTGGCTGTGTGATGCTTATGTACATAATTTCAAGGTCTGTCCTCACTTAACCTGAGGTGTTTGTGTAAATATTTTCCTAATATAACTCAGGCTGTGCTTGTCATCCATGCAGAGTCACTTCATATAGTGGGGGGCCTACACAGAGTGTGTGGTAGCAGTTAGGAAAATAGAAGTTTAGGGGGTACACCCTACCCAAGAAAAAAGTAAAGTTTGAGGAGGAAAGCTTGTAATTTGAAATTTCGCAGAAGGCTCAGAATATTAGCATTCGTAGAAACCAGATATGTTAGGGCAGTGGTTTTTAAACTTTGCTAGCAGTCCATAATAAGAAACTCAATCCTGGGCTCCATGGTGGCACAAAGGGTTAAGCACAGCACTGTGAAGCTATCTGCAACCTCTGCAGCAAAAGTTTGATCCCTGGCCAGGGAGCTACCCACATGGCACAGCAGACCTCTCTGTCTCCCCCGCTGCTCCCCTCAGCAGTGCATTTCAGTCAGTCTTCCTGTTCTGCTCATCACTCTGTCTCTGGTAAATCCTCTCACACACACCCCCCACCTCTGGCCTCTACCCCAGTTCTTGTATGCATAAATAAATCTTTTAAAAAAAATATTCAGTCCCGCTAAGACCCACAATACAAATAAGCATGTGTCTGTTTCAATTTTGTGAAACTGCTGCACCAAATAGTACCTACTATGATGCCATACTTTGATAATTTATGGTTTCCTTTTGCTTTAATGTTAATAATGACCCACTGCATTGACACTGTTGGGTAGAGGCCCACAATCTGATAGACTGCTCAATAGTGTGTACACTTTTCGGGCCTCCCCGGTGGCGCAGCGGTTGAGCGCTGGGTTGCGAAGCTGCCCGCAGCCTCTGCAGCGCCGGTTCGATTCCCGGCTGCTCCCCGGCCACCAGAGGAGGGTCCCACATGGCGCGCAGACCTCTCCTGCCGCCCGCTGCTCCCCTCAGCAGTGTACCTCGGTCCTTCTGCCTGCTCTGCTCCCCGCTCTGGCTCTGGTGAATTCTCTCACCCTCCTGCGCTTCTGACTGTCCCCAGTGCATGTATAAACAAAACAAACGAACAAACAAACAAATAAATAAATAAAACATGCCTCTATAAAAAAAAAAAAATTAAAAAAAAAAAAAAATAGTGTGTACACTTTTCTGTAATAAAGGGAAAGAAATTGTACCTACCTTTTTTACTATAAATTCTCACCCAGCATTTAATCGATAATGAATGGTTTTGCTCTTCCTTGCAGGATAACTTGAACTTTGGGGTTATTGTTCAGACATACTCACATATGCATAAGATAATGTTCTCTTGAAAGGGCTTTGTAACTGGATACAACCCACAAATGGCAAGAGTCAGTACTTGCTCTGATGTCCTTTTTTTTTTTTTAAACCAGGTAGTTCCTATTTGTCAGCAGAATGAGTACAGAAAGAGACTCCGAAACAACATTTGAGGAGGATTCTCAACCTAACGATGAAGTGGTTCCCTACAGTGACGATGAAACAGAAGATGAACTTGACGACCACGAGCCTCCGGTTGAGCCAGAACAGAACCGGGTCAACAGAGAAGCAGAGGAAAACCAGGAACCGGTCAGAAAAGGTACCGGGTGGGACCTCTAAATCACGTGTGGAGGATGCAGGGGCAGCGCTGAGCCAGCCAGGTTCCATAGTCCAGAACACATCTTCCTTCTCTTATCTAGGGATGCATCAGGGAGAAAGGTTGACAGGCTCGGCCAAGGACATGCTGTTATCAGTGTGCTGGGCTTGGCGACCTTTTCTGACAAATTCTGAAAAAGTAAAAGCTCTCGGTTAGTATCTCTAGTTTTAAGATGGCTTTGCATGTGGAGGGATTGCTTATTACTGCACCCAGAAACTGAGAGTATCCACATCAACCACATAACTTTGGATATAAATTATTTTTTGTGTTCATTTGTTGATATGAGTTATATAAACGACCACCTGCACATATATATGGACTGATCTGAAGCCATCATTTTATTACATGTGTGCCTGTCCACAAATGGATCAGAGTAATAGACGAAGGTAATTCCTAAGTCACGCTCAAAGAAATAAATGGATTTGAGCAAATCAAGCCATCACTAAGTGCTACTTTTCTCTGTCAGTTCTCTTTGACCACCGGAAACTTGGGCTAGCCTTTCCCAAGGTCAGCTTCCCAAAGGGACCTCAGGGGCACAGGCCCTTGGGGGAAGCAATGCTGGACTAGCCCCATTAGGAACTGTATGTGTTCTGTGATCTGGGCACAGTTTTTTTTAAAGATTTGTTTATTTATGCATACAAGAGCTGGGGTACGGGCTAGATATGCAGGGGGGCAAGAGGATTCACCAGAGACAGAGGGGGAAACAGAACAGGCAGACTGACTGAAATACACTGCTGAGGGGAGCAGCGGGCGAGACAGGAGAGGTCTGCTGCTCATGTGAGTTAGCTCACTGGCCGGGGATCGACTCAGGCCATTGAGGTAGTAACACTGAGACTTAACCCTAAGGCCACTAAGGAGGCCCCTTGGGCACAGTTTGGAGCCTCTGAGGCTCTCTCCTTGTTCTTCCAGTGCTTTCTGCCCCTTTAGAGTAACCTTGGCATTGCCATACCTTTTGTTCAGTCACTTGTGAATCTAACGTGGTTTCGGCTTTCCAGTAAGAAATTGGTCGTGGGTCTCTCTGCTTGCCATGCGGGCATGTTACCTAGCAGGCTGCCGTCTGATCAGATTGAGGGCAGCTTTTCAAGGCCTGTTCTAGACCAGGACTCGGCAAACTTGTATTAAGGGCCAGACAATAAATATTTTCAGTTCTGTATGCCCACAGTCTCTGTCACAGTTACTCAACTTTCCTGATGGTTCTAGAAAATAGCCATACACGTCTGACATTTAGGAGAATGGATGGTAGTTTCCCTTCATGATTATGCTTGCCATCTTGGCCTTTGTATTTCATTTCTTTTATTTAATAAATTTGTATTGATGACAATACGATATAATTTGGGGGTACATTTTCACAGCTGTGTGCAAATGAGCCTCACTTCATCCACCACAGAAGACCTAGTGCCCCTCCCATTAGTGGGCCAACCCCCACCCCACTGGTGACCACTCCTTTTTCCCCAGTGGTTTTTTATATTCCATACACAAGAGACTTGATTTCTTTCTTTCTTTCTTTTTTAAAGATTTATTTATTTATGCATACAAGCGTTGAGGTACAGGCCAGAGATGCAGGGGGTGAGAGGATGCACCAGAGACAGAGTGGGGAACAGAACAGGCAGACTGACTGAAATACACTCTGAGGGGAGCAGTGGGCAAGACAGGAGAGGTCTGCTGTGCCATGTGGGTTGCTCCCTGGCCGGCTGGGGATCGAACTCTTGCTGCAGAGGCTGCAGATTGCTTCATAGTGCTGTGCTTAACCCTTTGTGCCACCAGGGAAGCCCAAGACTTGATTTCTTTCTGACTTGTTTAGCGAGTTATTATTACCAGTTCCATCCATATTGCCGCAAAAGGCAAAATTTTGTCTTTTTCATAATCTGTTTTAATTCTTATCAGTCTTCCTGCCCTGGCTAACAGGTGTCTTTTCCTGGTAACTCTTCTGCTCCAGAAGAAAGAAGCATGGTGTTTATTTGGACCCTAGATTTGTTCCAGATTTCAGAAACTCAAAAATGCTTCCTCCATGGTCCCTATTATTCTAGTTAAATAAGTTCAGTTTCCCATTTACAGAAGTTCTCTGTAATTGATCTGTTTCCCACCCTCCAGACGTGCCTCTCTATAATCTCAGAATAACATCTGGTTTCCCAAAGTCTCCATCACTGCTGGTCTCCCCTCCCTCTCCAGTCTTACATGCGTCCTCTCTGCTCACATCTCTCGCTCACTGGCCCAGTCTCTCCTTCTGGGTTCTGCTGCTGGGTCAGCTGAGGGCTTTCAAACCGTTTTCACAAGCCATGACATCCCATTTTTGTAGTGCCGCCTCCTCCTGTCACAGGGGGCCTCTTTAGCTACTCTGTGTGGGGAGATGCTCACTGGGGAGTGTCATACAACCCTACGAGCCCCCTCCCACCACTGAAACTTGGGGAGGTCACCAGTTCCTGTCTATGTCATCTGCCTTTTCACCCAGCTTTCTGCATCAGACATTTAGATTTACTCGACCTTTCTGTGGGTTTCTGCCTATAATATTTTTAAGATTTATTTATTGATGCATGAAAGAATAGGGGTACAGGCCAGAGGTGTGGGGGGTAAGAGGATTCACCAGAGACAGAATGGGGAGCAGAACAGGTGGATCTACTGAAACACACTGCTGAGGGGAGCAGTGGGCAAGACAGGAGAGGTCTGCTGCACCATGTGGGTTGCTTAAGTGCTTAAGTGCTTTTTACCTTTAACTAGAAGGTACTAAAATCACAATTAAGCTAAATTAAAATGGAATCACTGCCAGTCTCAGCAGAAATGTGATCTGTGTCGTGCAGGTCCAGACTGGATAGTGTTCAAATGGGGGAAAAGTCAAAGTTGCCTGGCACGGTCGAGAGGGAGTTCTAGCTCATTGCCCAAATGGCAGATAACGTGCTTCTTCCTCGTTCCTGCCCTCACCGTACTTCTGGGTTTCATATCATGATCTGGGGTCTCGACCATGTCTGGATATCTGAGGAGCTGGCAGAGAATGGCTCTGTGGGTGGAGGTGACTTTGCTGCTGTTGTGGTGCCGCGCTCGCAGATGTGCGCTGAGGTCACAGCAAAGGGACTGGGGCTGGGTGCCTGCGGAAATGCCAGAGAAGCACGTAGTGGGTAGAAACTCTCACCTCTGTTTTTTTCCAATGCCGTCTTCACATCCTGGCGCTCCTGACCCTTCCCTCTGCAGGTCCCTTCTTGTCCATTGCAGTCCTTAGAATTCAGGCACTGAGGGAGCTCAGACTTCATCTTGGCTCTGTGTAGTCCTTTCTGAAGGTGGCTGGTCTTCTCAGGGGTTCAGGTGATCCTCATTTCTCAAAACCCCTGTCAAGGGACCTCAGCTATGACTCAAAAATTTTTTTTTTTAAAATAGATCAAACTAGCAGGCAACTGTAAATCAGAGACATACAGCAGGGGAGGGGAAGGGGCAAGGATTAAAACGGGGCAGGAAGAGCACAAGGGACTATGGTGATGGTTCATGGGTGACTTGGTGGCAGGAATTTTATGGGGACTACAATACCTGCGAGGACAAAGCAAACTGTACAAATATGAACAATGATATAAAAAAAATATATATATATATGTATATATATATATATACACACACACATTTTTTTTCTAGCACATCTCCCTCCCAAGCACACAGAGGACGTGCACTAAGTACTAACCGCTCCCCCTTCATTGCTGCTTTACCCTGCATCCCCCACAGCCAATCTGCTTCCTCTTTTCCCTCCCCCCTGCTTCCCTCTTCCCCCCCCCCCCCGAATTGTTTTCCATATTCTAACTTGGACATTTTCCTAATGAAGATTGGTGTTACTCTGACTTCCTTTTAAACCACGGCAGTCTTGCCATGTGCCATCAAGGATCATTTCCTTCAAAGAATTCCATTTTTTTTCAAGCACTCTGGGGTTCAGTGACTCCAGTTCCCTCACAGCAGAGCCATAAATCACATCCATTTCTTAGTGGATCATCTTAGTGTAGAAAGTTGCTTTTTTCTTCTTTTTTTTTTTTTTTTTTTTTTTGAGATGCCCTCACCCCAATGAGCTTTGGAGCTAAGTGAGTGTTTTTGAGAGACTCACTGCAAGGGCTTTTCAGTTGAAGGACTTTCATTGTGTGAGAATCAAGAACAAGTGTCAACATGCTGCTAGAATGTGCCAGGGAAAAACGATAAGGCCACAGATTTTACTCAAGTGATTTTACCCTTGGTTTCCCCGGAGCAAGGACTGACCCAAACAGTGCATGTTTCCCGGGTGATGGGGTGAACTTCCTTCCCGATGAACGTGCTAGAACAGTATTCCCCATGTGTGTTCTGGGACCCCAATTCTGCAGATTCTTCAGGATTCACGTTGCTTTGCCCATCTCAAGGATGTCCAGAAAAGGATCGAAGAAGCTTGGACTTTAAAGAAATAAGTTGAGGGCCTCCCAGGTGGCGCAGCGGTAGAGCGCTGGGTTGCGAAGCTGCCCGCGGCCTCTGTGGCGCTGGTTCGATCCCCGGCTGCTCCCCAGCCACCGGAGGAGGGTCCCACATGGCGCGCAGACCTCTCCTGCCGCCCACTGCTCCCCTCAGCAGTGTACTTTGGTCCTTCTGCCTGCTCTGCTCCCCACTCTGGCTCTGGTGAATTCTTTCACCCTCCTGCGCTTCTGACTGTACCCAGTGCATGTATAAACAAAACAAACAAACAAATAAATAAATAAAAAAACATGCCTCTATTAAAAAAAAATAAATAAAAAATAAAAAAAATAAAGAAATAAGTTGAATTGCATTCAGCCTGCATTTAGGCTCCTTAAATTCCTTGGCTCTGAAATGCTGGATTGGTTGGTGTGTGCTGTGTTGTTCATGTGTTTTAGCTTGCCCTTCCAGTCTCCTCGTAGTTCAACTCCTTGGGTAAGTCTGCATCATTCAGGAACCTGCTTAGAGGTGAAGGATTTAGTGTTCTGAAAAGGGTCCCC